GAGATGTTTGGATCAGATGCTGCTGTGTGCATCAAGAGGAAAACAATGATTGTTTTTTTCATTTGGTGGCTGACTTTGAGCACCGTGAGGAAGGATTTGGTCTAACAAAGGAGATTGCAGCCCCTAGTCTCAGTACTAGTAATGGCTACTTGAATATTGAACGTGGAAAATACAGGGTTGTTTAGAAAACTGATTTACTTGGGAAAAAAATGAAATGTCCACAGAGCAGATTCATTTGGCCTGCAGTATTTTAATGAAGCACGAAGGGCTGGTTAAAGACAGGAGCTAGCTGGGAAAAGCTGTGCTGTGATCTCTGAGACAGAGGGACAAGAGGTCCCTTGGTGACAGCACTGTCAGCACAGTGTGGGACCTTCCCAAACTACACACCTGAGCTGCAAGGCCTGACAGGGCAGATAGGCATGCAAATGCCTCTGTGTACAGCAAATTCCTCTCTGCCCTATGTTTTCATTAATGCTTGCTATACAAATCTTGTTATTAGTGCTCCCTCAAGGGCCAGGCAGTAATTTAGATGCTGATTAGTGAGTGGGATGCAGCAGCAGCAGCGCAGCACAGGCTCTCTCTTGTCAGCACTTGAGTGAGGAGGGGAGCAGAGCTCCCAGCTCTGCCTGCCACAGCAGCTGCTCTCGGGATCTAATGAGCTCTTCTGCAATGGGAATAGTTTCAGAAACATATACTCACTCCAGGAGGGCTTACCAGGATATTTCTTTGTAATTAAATGTAATGACATCTAAACCCATAGTCAAGTTCTCATTGATAAACACTGGCAAATAAGAACCAGCAAGAGAAAATCAAACAATTAGCTATGTCAGCATTTTTATCATGGTCTTTTCTGAATTTTTTTTCTTTTCCTACCTCAGTTTAGTAAAAAGCAATGAGATGCTAGATGATGTGGCAATATGTAGTTAGGACTGTGGCAAAAAGAAAACATTAAATAATTTTTGATCTTACTATGATTTCTAGAAGAAAGGAAAAGTAGTTGTGATAGCAGAAAAAACAAGTATTATGTTGGTCAATTTCTAAATCATAGTTCAGTGAGCTTGTTTTACAAATACCAATGGCTGATATAGATGGTGGTGGTGGTCAAACACCAGTAAACTGATAGATAAAAAAAATATTTATTTTCTTTTACTGATGGAAAAATTGAAATGTGAAATGACTGAAACATAATTTTTAAAATTATGTTCATCTTTTTCTCCCACTAAACGGCAGGAGAATGAAGGTTTATTTTCTGGTTTTAGTTTCTAAAATTGCCTGAGTCCAAGTCTATCAGCCACCTGTGATTTTTATCTACTCAGCTGTTTTCCCAAGGAGAATTCTAAACTCTCTAACAGAAGATTTCTCCAACAATTATACCAGCCTCTTACTGAGTTTCTCTGGTGTAAAAACTGGCCTCTGACCTGTTCTGTTTCTCCAGTGCCTGACTGAATCCCACAGAAAAGGCTTTTATTTGCTCTTGCTGAGGGGAAAGCAAGCAGGGTACTTAGCTGGATGAGATAAGCCTTTGCTGGATGAGACCTCTGCAGAGCCCATGGGTGACATCAGAGGCCAGCTCTTCTAAAACAGGTCACCTCTGGCCCTGCATGGCTGCTCCGAGTGCATTAACATTGTCCAGGGGGAGAAGCAAGGCAGATGAATTTTGATCTCACTCTAAAACAACCACAAAGCTCCCCCCAGCACGGACACGATGTTTGCACAGCAGGGGAGAGCCATGGAAGGAGTGATCTGCACCACCAAGCACATTTCATTCCAGCTGCAGTCAGCCTCCTTCCTCTGGGTTCTTCTCTGGCTTCAGATGAGGACACTTTGGGGGAGCTCAGCTCCTTGGGTCAGCAGGGCTGGGGGATGTGCCAGTGAAGATTCAAAGAGCTCCCCTGCCCTGTTTGGGACACAGCCCCCGGTGCTTCTTCAAACTATTTTGGCAGGTCTTGCACGTTTCCCCGCCAAGAAGGAAATTACACACCGAATATTTTAACAAAACTACACTTAATTGTTAGCACTTAATAATATGTGACATTATCTTTTAGTGAAGTACCTGATGCCCCTCTTCAGTGTAAAAAAAAAAAAAGGATTTGACTCCAAAAGATCCAAAAGAGCATGCATTCCCCCTGCCTCCCTCTCAGCCTTTATTTATTTGCAGACAGGCTGATTTAGGTTAGGATCAGTATTTGGTTCTTCCATTTATCATCAGTGCTAACTTTATGAAAATACACAATAGATGGCTTCCCTGCAAGAGGGTGAGGTTTGGCCCTGGGTAAAGGCTAAAGCTTAACACTCTGATTCTGAAAGTGGTCTGTGCAGGCAGATGGGCTCTCAGAAGTGACTTTCCTTAAAAAACTAAGGCTTTGTTTCAGAAAGTCTGTGCACAGATATGGATTGATGGGAATACCCTTTAGACTGAACCCTTCATTGCATATTTATTTATCTGAGGATACAGAAAAACGTCTTAAATCCTGTTTATTTTGCCAGGTGATGCTCCAGCCTATATGAGGTAAGGCTCACACTAGGCTCAAACATTATTCACCCAGCACAAGGGAAAATCCTCGACTGTTTTTTCCTCAGCATGAGTGAGAAGAAGTCTCTAAACAAAGCTCCAGTCTTGTTTTTACTTACCTCCACTTGGGTATGTACAAACCCATTCTCAGGTCTTCACATTCTATTACACCTCTTTAAAACAAAAAACATAAAAACTGCCAAGAAATTACTTGAGTGATTAGAGTCCTGTTAGTGATTAGAGCAGCCTAGAATAAGTTATACTGGTAAAAAGCTGTATGTTGAGATTTGGAATACAATACAGGTATATTGTGTTCCATGAACAGTGTTATGGTCTGTGAGGACCAGCCAGCTGTACCTTTCCCTTCATCTCACAACTCACTTGAAACACTTCATGGCTCCTGCCCAGAGTTTGTATCTTTCTGTCCCCTAGGTTACTTTCCAATCTCTGTTTGCTGATTTGGAAAATTGTTTGTTTATGTGATTTTACAGGTTGTCCTTAAGTGTCCACATTGTCTGATGCTTCTCATTGGCACTATTTGCCCTGTGGATATGAATGGTTTCTCTAACTCCATACAGGACCAGTCCTTTTTACCAAAGCTGCCTGTCACAGAAAGGCTGCTGGCTGAAGGGAAAGGCTGCAAATATTCCAGTTCTGACAATTTTAGTGTCACACCACTCAGAACACTAAATGTGCAAGCCCAAAGGGTTGGAGTTGTGCACATTCTCAGGATCAAGACCTGAAACAAAGCTACTGTTGTCAGTTTTTGTTCCTTATGCAAGCGGCACCTTGGGTTCACAAAATATATTTTTAATCTGGGCAAATTTAGATCTTCAGGAAGGAATGGGATGTAACTTACTCTTCATTGTTCTTTTCTGAAAGTCCCTGATTTATTCAAATTTCAGCATTTAAGCTGAATCCAGTATCCTGAATTTAAAAAAAAAAATGTTGACTAATTGATGTGTTGGTATGCAACCAATAAGAAAGGCTGCAAGCACATAAATAATCCCCCATTTTACCAGCCTGACTTCATACCCCTAGGTGTTTTGTGGGCTGGAATAGACACTTCTATACTGAAATAGACACTGCTATACTTATTTACAGGTAGGGAAGTCCAGGAGGAGATCAGTGACCTTACCAAAGTTCACGCAAATGTCAATGGCAGGAAACTCCTGATTGTCTTGTCTAATTCTGTGACTGTGGGATCATGCTTTAGTAATCAGCCCTGTTTTCAACTACACTTTTTAACCCTGAGTGATTTTAATATCTTTCAGAGAGAGATAATGGGGAATACAGATATTGAAAAATCTGGTAAATCAAATAATGTTTGCAAGATGCACAGAGACAATGGTAAAGAATGTGATAGAAAATGTGATAGATCCAGCTGCATGGACTGGCTTGTCCCCTCATACACAGCACACTACAAGAGACCAATATCTACAGAATAAGTGAGATGAAATGATATTGCCTAGGCCTAATTCTTTGCTCAGACCTATGGTTACAGATCTGTCCCACCTCAGTGAAAATCACACACTGATACCTGCCAGTGGAAAATTTTAGAAGGTCCATTGTAACAGTGAGAGATTGATGTCTATGTTTTTAATGACATTTTATTTTAGGACTCCAAACTACTGTGTATCAAATATCCTGCATGATCTTTGTCAAATATTTGTGAAATCATCAGCAGAAGACAGATACTTTCTGGCCATTAACCACATGAAGACAACAGCACAGAAATAATTTAGCTTATAGAAAAACTGGTTACATGCCATGGTTAGGAAGAGCCTTGAGCCTCCTCTGTGTCATACAATCTTAGTTGTTCATACAGATTCTCAGAGGCTTATTTTTAATAGAAGTCTCAAGTTTTGCCAATTCTGCCATACATGTAGCCTAAAGCAAATTAAGGCAAAAAAAGTAAAAAAGTTTCAGGAAAAATTTCAGTCTGGTAATGTCATAAATTTTTTAAGGTGAAAGATAGCTCTTTGTTAAGCTTTGTTTTGTTAATTTTACATATTACTGCAAGGCACTTTTCAGTACCAGTATTGGTATATGAATAACTGAACTGAGGTGAGGTTCTTGTAATCATTTGAGTGCAGTAGAACCCTTTGTGAATTTGCTTCACTCCGTTTGCCAAGAGTAGAAGAAAGCTCAGTCCCTGGGCAAAGCAGTCCTGTATCCTCAGAGCCCAGCGTGCAGTGCAGAGCCCTGCTGCCAGCCAGGACAAAGGACCTGCTGCTGAAGGAACTCCATTGCTCACTGTTATTCACAGACAAAAATGGGAGTTAAGTGTTTCAGATGCAGTTCTTATGTCTAAATGCTAATCAGGGCCTCTGGCTTTCTGAGACACACAAATGAGAAAGAAAAGCTGTAAATTAGAAGGTCAATTTCTTATTTACAGCAGTGCTGTAGGTTCATGGCAGAGTTACAAATGTTACCCCCGAGAAATGCTTCTGTATTAACTTTTCTCTTTTCATATGTTTTTCTCCAGAAAAAGACGAGAAGAGAACAAACATCTCACAGGCAGAGGTAAGTGATTTTATTTTTCCTAAACATATTTATTATTAAAATAGTTCTATTGCTAAAAAACACTTGGAAACTCCCTGATTCATCCTGGTGGATACTTTTATTTACATTGTCATGCCATCTGCAGTAACACAGCCTTTTAAGAACTATCATTTTCAAAGCAGGGCTGTGTCAAGCCGTGCTGTGTGCTCTGCCAGCTCCCTGTAGCAGGGTAAGCTTCCCCTCTGCCTTGGTGCCAGGCCCTGCCAAAGCACAGCACAGCCAAGGTGACCCTGGATCACCCCAGCCAAGCGTTCTGTGGATCTGCAGGTCACTGCTGGGCACAAGAACATTCCAACAGCTCTCTGCTCTCTCCATCACTTGTCAAGCCTACAGCAGGCAGTGCAGTCGTGTTGTCTGCACAAGAGTTGAAAGCTGGCTCCTCTGATCTCATTTTCTAACCTCCCCTTGCATGGTTCCTCCAATTCCCTGATCTCTTTCTCCTTCACCCACTGCTCAGCGCAGCAGGCAGCACCTTAAATAGCAGTAGGTATTGATTGGTTCAAATTTGAACTCCAATACAAACATATAAAGATTTACTGGTGTGAGGTTCACCAAGCTATCCCATAGTGTTTATAAATAGCTTTCTTTTTCCAAAGACAATATTTTATTTATAAATGTTATCATTCTATCCACTGTGATAAGCTAAGTTAATAGGATTAGCCCTACTTGTGTGAAACATGTCTCCAATGTTCCATGAAGAAATAGATCTGATTAAAATTCATGGTGTATATATTAGGCATTTTTAGCAAATGTTTGGGTAAAGGTAACATCATTACTACAACTAGAAATTTATTAAATGAGGCGGGAAAAAAAAGATTGGTTACACACAGTTTTCCCTTAACCTTTTGGTTAGGAGTGTGATATGGTGCTTAGGTCTTCCAAAGCTAGCTGAGGATGTACTGTATGAGGCTTTATTGTCCTTTTTATGTAGACATAATTCATGTTGGTGTAATATTGACACCAATTTAGCTGCTTTCATTTTGCCAAAGCTGCTCTGTTTTAGCACTGAATGTACTCCAGTTAGTTTCTGCTAACTAAACATTAATATCATGTGGTAATACTGTTATTACTCTATGTGTATTGGGATAATATAACAATACTATTATTACTCTATATGTAATTTTACTGCCATTATTTTGGAATAATTTATCTTTTGTGCATAGATGCGATTTTGGGGCCACACAAAGTTTAACTAAATACAACACTCCAATGAGGCTCAGTTAAATGCTGAGTGATTGGCTGCTGAAATTATTATCTTGGCTCTAATAGAACACATTGAAAAGGTACAGGGGGAGGGATTTTCCACTTATTTATATTAAAATGTATATATTAATATTTCAGTACCACCTTACACATGTACATAATCACTGATTACACTGTAATTGGAATGTTGGCTAATGTAAACCTTGCAACTATTTTAATATACATAGACATTTATTTGCCTTATGAGAATCAATTACACAGGCTGTTAAAAGCACAGGCTATCCTAACTTTATGTTACACAATATTTTATAGGGTGAAGGGTAATTTTCAGTAGTATTGGGCCTGTTTTGCCTGGGAGCCATAAAGATTGTCCATTAAACACATATTTTTGTCTTAGTTATCCTGTACACATGACAGCCAGGCAGCTGGCATCAGTTGTACACGGTATGTTTTCCTCAGGAGCTCTCATTAAACACATATTTTTGTCTTAGTTATCCTGTACACATGACAGCCAGGCGGCTGGCATCAGTTGTACACGGTATGATGGGCACTCAGACGGGTGCACACGGAGCTGCCAGGAGCAGGCATCTCTCTGTGTGCCCGTGTCTCACTGCCCCTCTCTGTTCTGTCCCCGCAGTCGCAGAGCGCCTCTCCCAAGCAGAGGAAGCAGAGCGTCTTCACCCCGCCTGCCCTCAAAGGTACCGTGAGCTCCTGCCCGGCCCTGGCTGGCTCCTGGGGGGGACAGTGGCACCGGAGCAGTGCCACAGGGTGGTGCCCAGCCATCGCTGCCTTCACACTCTGCTCGCACTGCCTGGCACTGCCCACCTGCCTGGTGCTCACCATCGCCCCATCCTCAGCACAGAATCTTGCTGCAGGGGCAAATTTATTTACTTGAGGGAAAAAAAAAACAAAACGTTTTTATGCTTTGATTACTTTGCTATAACAGATAATTCAATGCAAAACTATGAACTGAGCTTCTTGAATATGTAGATTCTATTGGTGCTGGCCCCATAGAGTTCTCTGTTTGTTATTTGAAACCACTCCCCCTTATTCTGCCTCTCATTTCCAGGCAGCTGTGAAAAGGAGAGCAACCAAAACTGTGCTCTGGGTATGTGACAACAGGGTGTGTAAGACTTTCTTGGGAAGATAAGGAAAAATGAGAAGTCTTGATAAAAGTTTTGATGGATAACATGCTTTTCAGGAATATGTACCAAAGCAGCAGTGCTATCACCTGGGATCAGAACAGCTACCTTTAGGCCTTGCTTCTTATGTAGTTCTGAACAGAATTTGACTGGATGGTGACTGCAGTAAAGCAAGATCTGTGGTGATCCAGCAGCACTTCTGGCTGACACTTGTCAGAGCAGGATTATTTCAGACTGCGGTCTAAAGGCCATCCTGCCAGGTGTCTCTTGATAGGTAATGAATCCGTAAATTTCCATTTGTCTGCTTAACACAGTTTATTACCTGGGATATCTGATTAGTTGTGTGAAATACTGCTGCTGTCATGAGGTAATCTACCGTATCAGCCAGTTCTATGTGTCTCATTCTGTAGCTGCAGCTCTCTAGCACTTGTCCTAACCACAGTTAAAATATCATTCAGATGCCTGAACAAGACTCTGTTTGCCAAAATAGGCTGAAGTTCATGTGCTGGATATTAGAAATAATCTTATGATGTTCAATTTCAATATTTTTTCTGGAAGGAAAATGCTTTGCATGGATAGCAATACCTATTGATCTCACTGCTGTATTATTTTGCTGTACAAGCCTAAACCAAATGCTGTGCAAATGAAGAGCAGTGTAAAACAGGTCCTCATAGCTCCTCTCAAGAACTGCATGCCTTAGCACCCTAAATTACACCATAGTCCCAGATACACAAGTAGACACTTGGAAGTTGATAACCCTTCCTGTAAACTGGCTGGATTGATCCAGCTTTACCATACTGTTGCTATCAAAAATATGAACTTTTAAATTTAAAAATTACTTGCTAGAAAATTCATTCTTCTTCCTTTTCACTGATATGAAAACATGATTTTTTTTTTGTTTGGACTAAGAGACTGTGAGGCAAATATATAGCAATGTGAAAAACACATTGCTATGCAATACACAAAGCTGTTTCTACTGAGAAATACAGAGTTTTTGTAATGATTTAAATTATTTTAGGATTTTTTATAGGAGTTGAAGATACTGTTGAACACTATTCAACAGTATTTTCTGAATAACAGGCTTCTCAGTTGCACACTCCTCCTCAGCTTTGAGCATATACTCATACATTTCCTGTGCACTGTTTTTCCCACAGTATATTCATAATATGGTATTTGACATACAGTAAAGTAAAGAAATAAAATTCTTCACAGCTCCTTGTCTGCTCCATGCCCTCTGAGGCTGTTACTAATGGAAGCTGGGATAGACTGGAATCTGGTGCCTTATATTTAAAGCTGGAAAAAATAAATAGAGTGGAGAAGAGGGACAAATATTTTAATTCGTTAACCTCTGGGGCATTTTAGTAGTTTGTAGCTGCTGTTAACTCAAAGTTCTCAGAAACAAGCCAAGCTTGCAGGCACTAGAACTGAGCCTGGAAGCTGAGACAGCAGCTGTGGGAAAGACAAGGGGCCATGGCAGGAGCTTTGCTCTATGCCTACAGCAGAAAGGGATCAAGAGAAACTGTGGGCAGAGCTGTACTTCAGCCTGACTCCAAATCTCCAAATAGCTGAAAATAGTTTTGTTACAGTTTTCTGTAAGTTTCTTGAAATAATTACAAAACTGAGAGAAAGTTTGCTGGTTTTTTTCTGTATTGATGGCAAGGCAGGAGAGAGAAAGAGGAAATAATGTTGATGTATGGAAGCCCATATAAAATGGGAAATTGGTGGCATGGTCAAAAAGAGCAGAAGGAACATCAGACAATGGTGATGACTGATTACAATACCAGACCTATAGTACATGAAATATGCAAATTCATGAAAATACATACAAAGAAATGCAGTACTGCTGAGGTTTTACCTATCATGGTAAATATATGGAGATCAGCCTCTTAGTTAAATTGCTCAGATGAGGAATTCACATTGCCCAGAGAAGCTGTGACTTCCATCCCTGGAAGTATCCAAGGCCAGGTTGGTTGGGCCTCTGGGAAACCTGGTCTAGTGGGCAGAGTCTCTGTCCATTGAAGGGGGGCTGGAATGAGATGAACTTTATGTCTTTTCCAACCCAAATCATTCTATGATTCTGTGATTCTATTCTTTGATATATATGGGGGCATACTTTTTCCTTCTGCCTTAAACTAAAATTCAACATTATTATCTGTCTAAGACCATCCCTAAATATTTCAGTTTCATCATTACAGAAACTTTCCCTAGCTCAAGGCTGGGCTGTGGCTACTGCAGCAAGCTGTAGCAAACCTGGTGCAACAGGCAGGTTCTTATTACTGCATATCTGTGTGTACTTTGGCTCCTGCTTTTATTTTCCTAAACAAAAACACACCAGAGTTCCTACAGACAGAGCAAATAGCTGACTCATCTCAGGGCATTGTTCTTTTTACTGGAATACAGTGTGCTGGAAAAATCAATGTGAGAGCTATTGATTTAAGTAGTAATCTGGAGAGGGACTCAGCTGGCCAACCAGATAACAGCTGAGCATGGTGTGCCTCTTAGTATTATATTACCAAAGCTAATGGATGTCAAAGAGGTTTTCCATTTTGCTTTCACAGATATTTCTTTCCTAACCTGCCTCACTAGTGTTTAATTCCATGCTGGTATGTAGCATGCAATGTTGGCAAAAGTCAGGGTCTGAAGATTGCACCAAAGGAATCCATTCTATTTTCTGTATGTTGTGATTCACCTCTTGTCACAGTTTTTTTCTATGTTTAGCAGCAATCTTAACTATGAGTTCATCACCTCCAGTTCCCCTCTTCATGTCAGTTTTTCTTCTGTTATTCATGCACTTTTATGGCTGAACTTCAAATTTTCTTATCTTTTGAGGTCTTCTTCTTCATGTGTGAAGGTTGGCTTGAACCTCCCTATGAAAAATACTATAAAAACAACCACAGGAATGTTTTGCAATTTGAATAGTCACTGCTTTTGCCTTGGGCAATATTTTCCAGTCAGTTCTCAATGTGTAAGGCCTTTTTTCCTATTTACTAATCTGCTTCTTCTGTATGACAAAGCCAAGAAGAATCCTTTGATCCTTTTCCAAAGTAGATGTCCAGCTGCTTTAGCACAAAGGTCCATCCATCCATCAAAGCACAAACAGCATCTTCAGAAATGTCTTCATTATTCTGCTTGGTGGGCTAGAGGAGCCCCTGGAAGTCTTGTTGGAGGCTCATTTTTTACCCTCACACTTGCCAGAGAAGTCTAAAATGGGATGATAACCCTTCTGGATAGAGAGGGACCAAGTGAAGGCACCTTAGACTGCCAAGGCAGAAGTGGATTGCACTTACCCCAGGTAAAGGTGCTTCCTTAGTGTCTCATTGCCACTTGAAAATCAAAAGAGCACATCTGAGTCTCAGAGCTGCAGCTGCAGCTTTCCATGCCCAGGCATGCTTCGTGCTGAGGCAGGTTTCCTTTCTCCCAGGTAGTCATGTTTTGTTTGGTAGCTCAGCTCATCCTTGGAAGGAAATGCCGACGGCCGTGGCAGGAAACAAGGTTTACACAGACTAACAGAAGACAGCCTGAGCTGTTCCCAAACCTGCATTGCTCCCTAGAGGTCCCAGATCCCCACAATATCTACCAGCTATTGCTATTAATACTAGTGGCTATTTAAACACCACCAAGGTCTCCCCCTGTGAAGGAAGTGCACGTTCCCGAGCGATTTGAGGATTTCATTAGCAGTGAGTCTGCTAGCCTGGATGTGCTAGAGGTCAGGGAAATAGGAAAACTTCACTCATCTTAGTTCACTCTGCAAGAGGCTGTTCAGATCAGATCAAGATCCTGCTAATTTCAGCAGGCTTTAAAGAAAGTTACTGTAGCTGTCTGTGTTCACTGGACCACTTTTGCAATGAGGAGCCATCAAATCATAATTAAAGTCATTCCCCACACAAGTAAGAAATACATTTGACTGTTTTCCTTCTCGGCCTTTTGGGAAACAAAAGCTTTAAATTCCCCTCCTAATGTATTTTTCTTTGCATAAAAACAAAGGCCTTTTCCTGAGCCAGGCCCCTGCTACAAGATTTGAAATGAGATTAAATCAGAGTTGTTATAAATCTAAGGAACATTCAAAGACATTATTTTGGTTTGAGTCATTAAAACAACCAGAACTCACCAGCTTTTCCCAAAGTGTTCAGACCCAGGGATTTGATACATGCATAATTCTAGTATTTACAATCATGGTTGATATTAAATGAGCTCTTTCTAGCTTCTGCCATGAATTTCAGATGCTCTGCTTGTTTAGTGCCTGCTTGTTCTTCTCTCCAAAGGAAACAACATGCAGAATAAATGATTAAAATCATGATGTCCCTCCTGAAATATGTAATTTATTAGAAGCAATTAGTAGAGTATGTGGCCCTCATCCAAATTTGTAACCCCTTAGGCCAGCTTGACGATGTCTGATGCATCTCATTACTTTGTGAGTGAAGGTTAACAACGAACACGGGTAGAGTCTGGAGACATTAAAGATTATTGTTAGTATGGTAAGCACTGAGTTTGGAGCCCATGAGAATCATTGTGGAACAAAAATCTCAGGCTAAATTTACTTCAAGTGGCACAAGAAT